GTGTGTGTGTGTGTGTGTGTGTGTGTGTTTTCTGTGACTCATGTTGATGGGTGTAATTTTAATTCAATTATGATCACTGTGTTCAAGTATTCCATTGCATGAATTTATCACCATTTATTTACGCATTTGTCCCATCAGCGGGCTACTGGGTTGTTTCCTGGTTACTGTGAGTTTTGAATACTTCGGCAGTGGCCATTTTTTATGTCTCCTAATGCACAAAGATCAGAGCTTCTTTAAAGAATAGAAGTAAGGCTATGGACTATGTACAGGTACACTTTTCTAGAAGATACCAAATTGTTTTGCAAAGGAGTTAACCAATTTACACCCTTGCCTGCAAAATACTGTGCACTTTCAATGGATAAAGAAATAAATATATATGTATGTATATGTATATATATTCAGCCTTAATAGACAAGAAAATTCTGTCATTTATGACAACATGGATGAACCTGAAAGATATTAGATTAAGTGAATTAAGCCAAGACAGAAAGACAAATAGCACATGATCTTATATGCAGATTTTAAAACAGCTGAACTCATAGAGGAAGCATAAAAGGTGATTTCCATGAGTTAGGGGACAGGGATGATGTGGGATGGGGAGATGTTGATCAAAGGGTATAATAAGTAATAAGTACAGACCTAAGATGCCGCATGGTGACTATAATAAGTAGCAATGTATTATGGCCTTTAAGTTATTGCCCCATACACCTGCAATTTTGCAGCAAATAGACATTCCCTTGCAGCTGAAGTCAGAGGAAGTGCACGATGGTTCTGGCTGGCATAGAGTTCTGCTGCTGGCAATGTTGCCAGCCATGTTTTGTTTCCTTCCTAATAGTGAATTATCAAGGTGAAAATTTGCCTCCTGAAGTCAAAGGTGACAGTGTAATCTCACTGAAGCAGCCTCACTCACAGAGCTTTGTGCATGCAGAGCTTAAAGAAGGTTTCTAAATATTTTCACGAGTAGTCTTAGATTGTTTTTCTGATGCTTTCCTTTTCTTTCTAATGTGTGTTCTGCTCTTACAATGCCTCACCTGATCACAGGAGGTAAAATTTGTCCTCAAACCTTGAATCTGGAAATGCAGCATTGGAGCAAGTAATTGGCTTTCAAGATGACAAAACTATTTCAGAATTTCCACCTGCATCTCAGCCTTCATTGCATCCACACCAATTTCAGTGTCTTCAACTGCAGAAAAATGATAGAGGTATCTTTCCAGCAGGTCGTGTGGGAAGCACTTGCAGCTTCGAGGCACATCAGTCTGGTTAACAGCTTCAGCGGCTTCTAGCCAATAATCTATTTTCACTGTGAGTAACCATCACTTGTTAATAGGCACAGCTATGTGGGTATCATTAGCTGCAAAGTATAAAATTAAGGTTCCTTTGTCCAAGCAACATTTTTCCTCTTTTCTTTTCCTTTCCTTCCCCCTTCCCCTTTTCTTAAAAAGGCAGTCTCAGATATTTGACACTGACCTTGAACTCACTATGTAGTCAAATATGATCTCAAACTCCTCATCTTCCTGCCTATACCTCCGATATGACAACAGGAATATGGCATTCGATGGAACCCAGGGCCTCGTGAATATTAGACAAGCACTTTACCAACTGGGCTACATCCCAGATGCCTCCCCACTCCATAACATGTTTTTTTTTTATAAATCAGTTACTGTGGCTTTTATATTTTATTTGACCTGCACTATCAACAGCACCTTTGGGCATAGGTATTAAAGGAGTTATTGGCTATTTAAAAGCAACAAAGACTCAAATTACTGTTTTCTAAGCTTTAGTGGTCCCAAGAGATCCTAACTTGTAGTTTGGGCTAAAGTTCAAGAATACCCACACTTGCGTAAGTCTAGTGAGTTCTGAATTAGGAAATGATCATGTCCCTATCCACTGTCTTCAGTTGTGTGCCTGATTTGCTGATGTTGATGTACTTTTCTTATTTTGTAAGCTTCTAAACTTTTCACGGAAACTATGTAGGCCTCGATTCATTTTTTCTAAATGATATGGTACTTCTTAGAAATTATTTATTTTTATTATTATGTGTGTGCATGATGTTGGCAGACGGGTACATATGCCAGAGCCCACATGTGGAGGTCAGAGGACAATTCTGTAGAGTAGTTTTGTGGCAGGACAGAAAGATGGAGATACTATGGGGATGGCAAGAGGGAAAGGAACCCACCATCCTAGAGTCTGATTAAAGTTGGCAGCAAGAACTCCAGCACACTTAACAGTGTTGCAAAGCATGCTGACATTGAGTTAATATTCCTTTCATATGTAGATATATTATGTTAAAATAGCAATGTCCCAGGCTTAAGCCCGAATGCATGTGACCTTGGGTGGGGCCTCATTCAAGAATCTCAAGCAAAACTGTTTGCAGTAAAAATAGTCTACCTTCCAGTATCTCCAGTATCCCTACGGGCTAGACTTTTACCTTATCAATTGTAACCCTATCAGGTGCCCCTCAGGAACTGCCCAGTAGTAGTAACACAGCAACTTTCATCCTCACCAAACTCCTGTATATGACTATTGTAAAAACAATGAACTGCAACCCTCTTTTGAGGAAGCCTTACTTGGGTGTGTCCGTCTTTCTTCTGAGCACCTCCTTTTTCCTAACCTTCATGTTTAAGCCTATATTAGAATATCTTTAATAAAATCTCCAACTTTGGGTCTGAGGAGATTAATCAGCAGGTAAGAGCATTTTCTGCTCCTGCAGAGGACCCAGGTTATGTTCCTAGCTCCAATATGCAGCTCACAATCAGCTGTAACTCCATTTCCTGGGGATTTGGTTCCATCTTCTGATCTCTGAGAGCTCCAGGTACACACACAGTGCACATACAGACACACAGACAAGCCACTCACACATAAAATAAAAATAAGTAAACCTTAATAAAGAAATCTCCATCTCTGCTTCATAAATTGGCTAGTCCTGAAATTCTTTTCAGCACTGAAGCTACAAATCCTGGTTTGGCCTGAGTCGAGGTCCTAAAACTATAGGGGAACTCCTCAGGCTACTGAGCCTGACAGTGGGGAGCTGTGCCTCCTTTGCTTATGCTCCAAAACTCTGTAATAGATTCTCTCCTTCCACCTTTACGTGAGTTCAGAAGACCAAAGTCAGATCCTCAGGCTAGCATTGCAAATACTTTTACCCACAGAACCATTTGACCAGTCCCTCAGTACTTTTTAAAAAGCAAACTATGTGATGCAGATATAAGTTCTATACCATACAAAGTTTCCACTTAATGAGTATATTAGTTTTTTATTATATATATGCCAGAAACCATATATGTGTGTGTGTGTGTGTGTGTGTGTGTGTGTGTGTGTGTGTGTGTTATATAAATTTCAGTTTCATATTAATATTTGTAACAAAAACTTAATAGGAAAGGTGATAGACAAAGAAGTAGGGTCTCTAGCCATGCCATCCTGACCATGTCCAATCTCATCTGCTCTCAGAAACTAATCAGGGTCAGGTTTGGTTAGTACTTGGATGTGAGGATTAAGAACTGAGGTCCTAGGGCTGGAGAGATGGCTCAGTGGTTAAGAGCACTGACTGCTCTTGCAGAGGAACTGGGTTCAATTCCTAGCACCCACATGGCAGCTATGAACCTTCCTTGACTCCAGTTCCAGGGAGATCCGAAGACCTCTTCTGACATCCATGGCATTGCACGACACACGTGCCAACACGGGTGCCCTCACATACATACAGACAATACATTCATACACATAAAAAGGGGGAAAAAAAAGAACTGAGGTCCTCAGGACTGGAGAGACGGCTCATCAGAGCTGCACTTGTAGAGGACCTGGGTTTGGTTCTCAGTACCCACACTGCTAACAACCATCCATAACTCTAGTTCTGGATGATCCAACACCCTCCTCTGACCTCCATGGGCATTGCACGTCAGCGGTGTACTTACATACATACAGTCAGTACACTCAAACACATAAAATTAAAAAATAGATAAAATATTTTAAAAAGAATTGAGGATTTTAAGAAGTGATTAGAGGCCAGTGTGATGGTTTGAATAAGAATATCCCTGATAGACTCCTCAGTTGATGGCACTTTTTTGGGAGGTCAAGGAAGGTATGGCTTTGCTGAAGGAAGCACATCACTGGGGACTTTGAGAGTTCTTTTTTTAAATTTGTTTTTATTGAATTTTTGTGTATTTCATACAGAATATCTCAAACAATCTTAATCATCTTTATACCCCTGCCCCCACCGGCACCCTCCCATAGCCCCCCACTGGAATCCATATAGTCTGGCATTTGTGTTAAGGCCCACTGTGTCAAGTTAGTGTCCCCAGACGTTCTCCAGTAGCAAGTCCATCCACTAAGGTCTACTCAGCCTATCTAGAGTCTCCTGTTTTAGGAAGATCAGCTCTTCCTCACCTAGCAGTAATCAATTGCCAATGTTTCTTCAGCTAAGATTAGGATCTGCTGTTCATTTCCCCAGTTCTATGCTGGGTTTTTGTCTGCCTGAGTTTGCATGGGACTTGTGTATGCTGACACCATTGCCATAGAATCATATGAGCAGTGTCCTAGGAGCTTGTAGGACTCTGTTTCCCTATGATCATGCATCCCCTCTCTGGCTCTTACAGTCTTTCTGGCCACTCTTTAGTGATGGTCCCTGAGCCCTGGGTGGGTAAAGTTTAATTTAGGAGTCCTGTCTAAGGACCAGCATTCTGCAGACTCTTAATCTCTATGTTTTGGCCATTTGTGACCTTTTGTGTTCCTGGCTGTCTGTTGTATTAGGGATCTTCATTAATAAGAATTGAGAGATTCATTAGTGTTGTCGTCTTTACCCTTGTTCTCTGTACTATGTGCCTTAGGTGTAGAGGTTACACTGTAGATGTGTCGCTTAGGCCTGGACAATTCATAGACAATGTCTGTGTGTGACCAGTTGTGGTACTTGGTAATAGTCTCTGACTGGTACAAAATAAGCTGGATCCCCAGTCTCTCTCTGCTTCCTGTGCCTGCTTGAATGTGAGCACTCCACTTTCTCCTCTGGCCACCTTCTGCCACCATGCCTCCTCACCATGATGGACTCTTCTGCTGCCTTAACTCAAATAAACTCTTCCTTTCATAAGTTTCCTTAATTATGGCATTTCATCACAGCAACAGAAAAGTAACTAATACAGAAATTGGTACCAGAATCGTGGGGTGTTGGTGTGATGGACCTGACAACATGTGTTTGGGTAGATTGTGGAAGTTATTGGAGCTTTGGACTGGAAAAGTGCTAGAACTCAGTGAGCTGTTTTGTAGGAACTTGAAAGATAATGCTGAAAGATGGGTAGATGATGCAGGTCTGACTTGTGAAGCTTCAAAGGGAAACAAAGACTATTAGGGTGGTTTGTTTTGAATTAAGAATTTTTGGAAGTGAGACCTTTTGGACTTTACTGGGACAATTGATGCTGATTAGCTGAGGCTGAAAATCAGCTGTAACAAGAGACTGGCATCATTGTGGTGAAATCTTCTGAGAAATATTTTCTCAGGGTCATCACATAGAAGCTGTGTTCCAGAGGGAGGCCTGAGGCTCCATCTCAAGCTAGAATCAGGACTTGGTAATGTATAAGCGTCTTCAACATGGTACTGGTTTTGAAGGCATGAAGGGGCCATGAAGAGGCACTGAGGTTTGGCTGCACGTGAAGTCAGAAGAGGCCCTTGGTAAAGGTACAACCTCAGTTGAAATGGAGACCCTAGCATATTGGAAATGCCAGGACTATGGTGGGAAGACCACCAAGGGCAAACAGCAGGTGTGGAGTGGAGCCAGCCTGCACCTACAAGACAAAATGTGTGTGCTGTGGATGGTGGAGCTAGACAAGTGAAGCTACCCAAACCCTTTGGAGACCAAAAAAGTGTGAGTGAATCCCAGATATCCAGCCTTGAGCTACTTTGCTAGACTTTGGTTTTGCTTAAGTGTTCCTGATTCTTCCCTTTTGAAATAAGATAGTCTTCAACTTGTTTTGGATTTTACAGGAGCCCACAGTTAAGAGACTTTTTAAAGAGACTTTGAACTTTAAAAGTGCTTGGATTTTTAAGGACCGTGGAACTTTAAAAGTTGTATTCTCTTATGTTGTAATATGAATATTAATATAAGATCTTGGAGATAAGAAAAGGAAAGGTTGTGGTGTAATATCAGTGTATTTATGTGTCAAGTTCACAAGTAGTCAATTGTT